GCGGAGCAGCCCAGGCACGCCTGGGCTGCTCCGCTGCCCAAGCCCCTCCGCGGCTTTGCTCCGCATCTTCCTGGTCTGCAAAAAGACCAGCTTTTCTCACCCCGGAGGACATGGACCGCGAGGTCCTGCAGTCCGTGTCCTCCGGGGCGAGAAAAGTCCCGTTCGTAACTGCGGATCCGAACTTAAGTCGGATCCGCGTAAGTCGGGGACTGCCTGTATATCTACTCTCACAACTGGTTTCGACCTTTATATATAGATGGCGTTCCTTCTTGAACATTTAAAGTAATTTCAGTTTCTACCAAGACCCTGTAAAAGGGTAACCTAAGACTTTCATTTCCACCCTCCATGTGCTTCCCTCCCCCACATAATTGTGGTTTCATAAAACACAGATACATGTTAAAGCTTCATATTTTGGAGCACACAGTGACTGGCTTATTGGATTACCCCAAAGTTACAACAGGGATAACTGCCTCCCTGATCCCTCTGTAGTCTCCTTGAGGGCACTCCTACTCAGCTCTCAGGCCTCTAGTCATCACCTTTCTGAGAGTGGGAATTTACATCCCTCTCCTGCCAGAATGTGCATTTAGGCTCTAATTTCCTTGCAAGTTACAGTTAGGGTTCCCAGCCCTCCAGGAGTCTCCAGAAATTAATCTTTAATTAAAGTTTGTCATGCACGGGCGATGGGTGAAGGTAAGGCTGGGGGAGGCAAGCCCACAGTCCCACCCCTTCTACCTAGGCCACACCTCACAGGAGCCAAGCTGCCCTCGCCCCCAACACCACAAGGAAGGCATGCAGCCCCAGCCTCCCTGGCCCCAGAGCATGGGCAGGGCAGGTGCTCTTGGGCAGCAACACTCCGCCCCAGTAGGCATTCTGAGGGGTGGAGAATAGGTAGGGCCAGGTCGGTGGTATGGGAAGGCAATGCCTTCTGCCACCTTTTATATCCGCTGCCCTGTTGTCAAGTGATGAAACCTCCAGGAATATGTCCAGCCAAAATGGCAACTTTAGTTACAGTGTTTCTCCAAGCAAGTCTCATGTTGGGAAAACTGCAGGTGCTGGACTATCTCCCAGGAACTATGACAGGTTTACCATTGATAAATCAATTTTCACAAAGCATAGTACATTTATTTAGGACAAACATATCAAAGCCAAAACAGTCTAGATGTAGGCTAATCTCACCAGGCGCTACTTAGCAGCATGGGATTCTCATGGGCCCATATACCACTTTACAAGTTCTTGTTTCCATAGTACCTTACACTGTGGATCAGCTCAGGTGGACCCTTTAGACAGTTTGCGACTTCTTTTGCTACTTCTCTTAAATCTCTTAAAAAACTTGCCTATGCAGCCCTGCTCACCTTGCCCTCCTCCACTCCCCAAACCATTGTACAGGTTGGAAATCCCTGGTCTGGCACGCTCAGGACCTGACCGGTTCTGTATGACAAATTTTGCCAGACCAGGGGAGGTCATTTTGGATCCCTGTTACTGGCCCCCCCATGGCCCGGCTGCTAGCCTCCTAGCTGGCTCCCTAGCTCCTACTGGCCTCTATGCCCCTCCGACTCCTTGGGCAGCCATCGCTGCCATGGCTCTGAGACTCATGGGACAGCCATGCGTGCCATCCTGGAGCTCCAGGACCTGCAGGACAGCTGCACTGAGCTACCAGGGCAAGCAGACCTCCGCCAGGTCAGCCAACGCCATGGGCAACCCCACCATAAGCTTGCTGCGGGCAGCCCACTGCCCTGCCAACTTCACAGGGAGCCTTGCCACTGGCCTTCCACTGGGACTTTCTGGTCCTGCAACATCCATGCCGGACCATGATGTTGCCGGACCTGAGAATCCTAGCTAAGAGAGTTTCAACCTGTACACCTACAGATTTCTGCCTGGAGATTTGCATTAATTGGTCCCAGTGATCCAAGACCCAAAGAAAACTGAGTCAGCACTTCAGGAGCATATTAATTACCAATAAGAAATGAATGTATATGAATAGCTTACATGCCTATAAATCAGTGTGGATAAAATTGATTTTTTAAATAAAAACACTGTATCCTTACATTCATTTTTAAAAATTTCAATAACTGTATTTTTAAAATCAAATCCAAACTTACTATAAAAGATGTTGAGGCTAAACTTTATTATAATTTAGCTTAAATGTTAATCACATTTTGATACGAGAAGCTTATGTATCCAAAACAACTTTTAAATAAAACAAGCTTATATATACAGTTTTGTGTTTCAGTTACGATCAAACTTCAGAGTTACGAAGTGACCAGCTCAAATATATTTAAAATCTCAAATAAAAGTTACCCTTAATGTCTACTGAAAATGCTTATTAGTCTAGGTTTTGCTTTAGTCTGAAGAGTAAATTAGTATCTGCATTGGTTTTAATGGGAGCAAGCAAGGTCACTGTTCATTGGATTACTTACCAATCAAGATTTGACCTGTTTTTATAGCTGAGCTGCCTGGGACCAAGCCATGAACTACAAGCTTCTCTTCACTGATCACGCTTCTGTCTTGTTCTCCTTGCTTTTCAGCTCTTCTGCTACTCCATGAAGACTGATGAACAATCCCTACCAATGCCTCCAGTAGCTTGAGTTTCTCCCCTGCTCCAGTGTTGGGCAGTCTTTTTGGATTTACATAAACACATACATCTTTGTACCGTTGCTGAACTATGACTCCCACCTTCTGAATGGACTGATGTTTCAGTATGGAGGTTGGGCCAGAAGGATGCCCATTACCGCCTTCAGTTCTTTTCTTACCAGAATGCTTTGGTAAAAGTCTTTTCTTTTTTAAAATTTTGGTGATTTTTTTCAGTCTGGGTTCATTCTTTCTTTCTTTTTGTGATCCCTCTTGAATAACCTCAGCTTCATTTTCACAGAACCTGACATGATTCACTGCAGCCACCTCTGAAGAGCTGTCTCGAAGCAGAGTTTCTTCTTCATCATCACTCAGTTCTAGATAAAACAATTCCCCATTTTTCTGCACACTGTCCAACCATTCAGGCTCAAGGTCACTGTGTATGAGAGAGAAACAATTAAATGCTAATGCGGACAAGGAAGTCAGAAATGGCAACAACATTTGCTTACTTCAGAGATGGGGTTGAGAAAAAGTCTGCTTCTTCAAATTCTATGACTTTGATGCTCTAGTTCCGTGGTCCCCAACACGGTGCCCGCGGGGGCATTCGTGTGCGCCCGCCACGTGCTCGGGGCTGGCCTGGCCCTGGGCATGTGGCGCATGCACAGTGCCGGAGCCGGCTCCAGGCGCATGGTGAGCGCCGGCCCCGGGCGCGTGGCGCTTGGGGGGAGAGCGCCGGCCCCGGGAATGCGGCTATGGGGGGGCCCTGCCCCCGGGCGCCTGGCGGGGGCAGGGGCCCGCCCCCCCGCACCCCGCCA